TGACCTTTTCCAGTCCTGTGGCCACTGCCACAAATTTCCAAATTTGCTGGCATATTGAGCGCAGCACTTTCACAGCATCATCTTTTAGGATTTGAAATAGCTTAACTGCAATTCCATCATCTCCACTAGCTTTGATGCTTCCTAAGTCCCACTTGACTTCACATTCCAAGATGTCAGGCTCTAGGTGAGCGATCACACCATCATGGTTATCTGGGTCGTGAATATCTTTTTTGTATAATTCTTCTGTGTATTCTTGCCACCTCTTCTTAATATCTTCTGCTTCTGTTAGGTCCATACCATTTCTGTCCTTTATTGTGCCCATTTTGCATGAAATGTTCCCTTGATATCTCCAGTTTTCTTGAAGAGATTCTATTCCCGTTCTATTGTTTTCCGCTATTTCTTTGCATTGATCATTGAGGAAGGCTTTTTTATCTCTCCTTGCTATTCCTCGGAACTCTGCATTCAAATGGGTATATTTTTCCTTTTCTCCTTTGCCTTTAGCTTCTCTTCTTTTCTCAGTTATTTGTAAGTCCTCCTCAGATAACTATTTTGCCTTTCTACATTTCTTTTTCTTGGGGATGATCTTGATCACTGCCTCCTGTACAATGTCACAAACCTCCGCCCACAGTTCTTCAGGCACTCTGTCTATCCTTATTGCTAAATTCAGACTTAAATCGAAGATAGTAGGGAAAACCACTAGACCATTCAGGTATGACCTAAATCAAATTCCTTACAGTGGAAGTGACAAATAGATTAAAGGGATTAGATCTGATAGAGTGCGTGAAGAACTATGGATGGATGTCCATGAAACTTATGGTGGTGGGTAATGGTCATAGTGGGCTTCACAGGTGGCTCAGTGGTAAAGAGTTTGTCTGTAATGTAGGGGACACAGGTTCCACCCCGGGGTTGGGAAGATCCTCTGGAGGAGGAAATGGCAACCCACTCCAGTATTCTTGACAGAGAAATCCCAGGGGACAGAAGAACTGGTGGGCTTTAGTCCATGGGGTTGCAAAGAGTTGGGCACGACTGAGCACTAAACAGTACTGCTATATGTTTACTGTATGCAGTGAGTGAATCACAAGTGCCCATATGCTCTGGGAAGGAGTTTTCTCCTTCTGTCCCCACTCCTTCTCTCCCCCTCTTCTCTCCAGACCTCTCCCTTCCCCTCCCTGCCCCCAACAACCATACAAATGGATCGGTTTTTGCATTGATGTGTCTTCCCTTGTCAGTTTCAGGCCTTAGCAGACCCCAAGCTGCTGTGTGATGTACCCTGGGGCTGTTGACATCCTGCAGAGGGTGAAGGAGCAGGATCCCCAGCCCTTCCAAGGGTGAGATTTACTAAGCATGGGCTTAAACCACCATTTCACCATCTGATGTCTTAGAAATGTCTTATTTTAATGAGGAGAGCCATGTGGAGTTCAGCAAAGCCTGTAGGTGTTTTGAAAAACTGAGTGGGAATGGGTCATCTTAGCCTTAGTTGAGTTCATTCTCAGTTCAGTCAGTCGCTCAGTTGTGTCTGACGCTTTGTGACCCCATGGACTGCAGCACGCCAGGCTTCCCTGTCCATCACCAACTCCTGGATCATGAAAATTCAAGCATGGTGGCTTAATGCTCATAAAATACCTTCTGTCTGCAGCATATCATGTATTCTGACACTTTTCCATCCAGTCAGGCCCTTTTTGGGAACAGGAGTCTGTGGGGTCACTTAAAAATATTGTCAGTCTTGGCAGCCCAGTGGTTGAGACTTTGGCTTCCAATGTGGGGAGTGCATGTTGAGTGCCTGGTTGATCCCACATCCTACGATCCCACATGCCTTGAGGCCAAAACATAAAAAAAATTGAAGCAATGTTATAACACATTCAATAAAGACTTACAGAAAAATGGTCCACATTAAAAAAAAAATGCTTAAAATATTGTCAGTCTAATCAGTCGGGACCCTGGCTACCCCTGTGAGGTCTTTGGTTGTCTGGGAAAGATCGTGCTTCCTTGAGATTCAGTCAGTCAAGCCATACTGGTTTTTCCCTTCAGCCTAGTTTGAGCTTAATTTAGGCAGGTCAGGCAGCATAATTGTCGTTGAGACCCAGACTTGAATAACCCTTCATCAGGGAAGGCAGTAACGCCGATGGGTTGAATCACCCTGGTCTCGCCCCAGACAAGCTGATTTCCCGCCCCAGAGTGACCAGTTTAGCCTCTGCTTCCAACTGCTGCTTCAGCTTTTGAGTTTTGATTTTAATTTCATATTATTTTCATATTTTTTTTTGTTATATTTACATGTGTAACTAGACGACCAGATAGTCTTCCGAGGTGGCTCAGTGGTATGGAATCCGCCTGCCAAAGCAGGAGACGTGGGTTTGATCCCTCAGCCTGGAAGATGCCCTGGAGGAGGAAATGGCAACTCACTTCAGTATCCTTGCCTGGAAAATCCCATGGACAGAGGAGCCTGGCAGGCTACAGTCTATGGGGGTTGCAAAGAGTCGGACAAGACTGAGAACACACATGCGCAGACAGTCTTATCTTTTGAAACTTCACACATGGACGGACCTAGACGTGGTCACACTGAATGAAGTAAGTCAGACAGAGAAACACAAATATCACACGATCGCAGCTATACGTGGGATGTAAGATAAGGCTACTAATGAACTTGTCTACAGAACAGAGTCACAGATATAGAAAACACACTTATGGTTACCAGGGGTTAAGGGAGGGACAAATTGGGGGATTGCAAGTGACATATATATACTACTATATATAACTATATATAAAGTAGATAACTAATAAGGACCGCCTGTGTAGTACAGGGAATTCTACTCAATACTCTAATGACCTACATGAGACGAGAACCTGAAAAGGGTGGATATTATACATGCATGTATAACGATTCACTTTGCTATATACCTGAAACCAACACAACATTGTAAAGTAATTACATCCCAAATAAAAATTTAAAAATATGTAAGAGAAATAGTTACAACTAAGTTTCTATAGCAGATGATGATAAAAGTGACTAAGCTATTATCTAAATTTTTTCTCACTTTTTGTGTCTTCCTCTTTGCATACTGTATTTTTATTTAAAAAAATTTATTTATTTGACTTCACCAGGTATTAGTTGTGGCACGTGAGATCTTTAGTTGCAGCATATAGGATTGATTTTCCTGACCTGAGATCAAACCCCAGTCCCCCTGCATTGGGAGTCTTAGCCCCTGGACCCCCAGGGAAGTCCTGTATGCTGTATTTTATTCTTTTGTAAAGAAATGATGAGGCAGGGCAGGAATTTGGATGAAATATTTGTCTTACAGTTTTTTTAAAGGTATATTTATTTATTTGTCTGCACTGGGTATTAATTGTGGCAGGTGGAATCTTTTATCTGTATTGCAGTGTGGGGAATCTTTTAGTTATGGCAGGTGGGATCTGCTAATAGTTCCCTGACCAGGGATCAAACCTGGGCCGCTGCACTGGGAGCTTGGAGTCTTAGCCACTTGACCACCAGAGAAGTTGCTGTCTTAGAATTTTTAACGGAAGTTATTCCCAGCACCACTGTGGGGGAAAGGGTCTCTGTGTTAGTTTCCTGATTTAGTATGTAAGGAGTGTAAGTGACAGGCAATATTTATAATTTCAAAGTATCATTGGTAACACAGGAAAAAAGCAACACAGCACGTTTTTAATGGGAAATAGATGTGTAGTATATTACAGACAATATTCTTTTGTACTTGTGGAATAGTTTAGTGACCATGAGAAAATTTCTGTCTCAAAAATACTCAATAATTGGGAAAACAAACCCATTTTATAACAAAAAATTATGTTAAATTAAAAAATAGCTTCTCGTCATTTGGTATAACTTTTTATGCTTAGCCTTATTGGAATATAGTTTTAAACTATTCAGTACTTGATAAAAAAGAAACCAAAGAAAGGTATGAAAAGTAAAGAAAAATGAATGTATCTTTGATTTAACAATTTTACTTCTGTATTCTACAGAAGGAATACCATAATTATGTAAAAATTTATCCTCCAGTGTGGTAATTAGAATGGTATTTGTAACTGAAATACAGAAAAAGCTTAGATATTCATTAAAAGACATTTTGGTGATCATACAACGGGATAGAATGTAGTTACTTAAAACTTACTGGATTTGGAAGAAAGATGTGTGTGATATTTTTTAACTGAAAGTATGAGTTGTAGAGCAAAAAAATAACAAAATTTCACATTTGGAAAAGTGTGTGTGTGTGTGTGTGTGTGTGTGTGTGAATTCACAATGGATTTTTGGGCTTAAATATAGGAAGTAAAAAGTATACAAATGGAATGTTAACAATTGCTAACTTTGAGACATGGACTGGATACATGGAGTGTCTAAAGGACACTCAATTCAAAAGACAAATGATGGGATTATAGGCAATTTTTGGTGTCTTTTGAATTATATACATTAAAAAAAAAAAATCCTAAAACAATGTAAGCTGAAAACTTGAAGGCCAAAACGGGATGCATGGGGAAACTTTGAGCCAACACTGCCCTCTGCTGGGAAAATTGTGTAATGCACCGACTTGGTTTACTCCAGGACCAAGAATCCGAGGGTCAGATTCTTCTTGAGAGCAGGGAAGGCCACTGGGAGATCACCCACTCGACTGACCTTCAGACCTGGGCTGCATGTCAGAGTTTCCAGGCTGCACCCACGGAGAATCGAGTGGGCAAGTTTACTACTGGGGCCAGGTGTCTGCTTCCATGAAGAAGCCCCGCACGTGGTGCTGGCCACGGGATGTAGGTTCTTCTCTCCATCTTTCCGCGTACCTTTGCAAACTGAACTGGTCAAGCCAGCTGCACTGGCTTCTATTTGTTGGTGCTCAGTTGCTCAGTTGTGTCCGGCTCTTTGTGACCTCATGGTCACAGGCAGCGCACCGGGCCTCCCTGTCCCTCACCATCTCCTGGTTTACCCAGGAGGTTTCTGTGGAGCTGGAACTAGAAGCTAGATCCTTTGATTCCTAGCCCAGAAAGTTCTTTTAAAACCCCACCCCCCAATCCGCCCTCGACGTTTGACAGTGGCGAGGTCCTCTGTATTTTTGTGCCTTGAAACCACATTTCGCCAGCAATGGCCCGGCCGGTACCCCGTGGTCTTTCCTCTTAGTGCCCCGGGCCTTACTCGGGCTTTGTCCTCTTGCTCATCTCTGCTTCAGTCACAGGTGGGGCCTGGGAATCCTACACCATTACGTTAGGAATTGAGCCCCTTTTACTTTATTTTTATGGGGGAGCCACCCAAACATAGACCCCAGAATTGGAAGGCTTGGCTGGAATCAGGCTCCACTATTTAACAGCGATGAGACCTTGGGTTGGAGAGAGCAAATATTTAAGCGTCAGTTTCCCCATCTTTAAAGTTGCAGCAAATAATATTACTGTTCCTCTTTAGGTCCCTGGAGAAGGAATTGGCAACCCAGTATTCTTGCCTGGAAAATCCCACGGACAGAGGAAGCTGGTGGGCTCAGTCCACCGGGTCGCAGAATCAGTCACGATGCAGAGACTGAGCATTTCCGAACCGTCAGGGTGGTTAACGGACCGGATGAGACGATCTCTGTACAGCACCTAACCGCGGTGCCTGGCGCTTGATATATTTGCTCTTCTTTTTCTAATGCGATATGGCAACTCAGAGGGTGGTTAGAGAGTATAATGACTCTTGGGATCTTGCTGAAGAAAGGTGTCAATGGCATAAACGGACCCCTTTCATTTCATAGAAACCAAATGTCCATTTAATTCTGAAAAAAGCTCTCTCCAGAGAGGGGAAAATGTATAGAAATAAAGGCACTAAAAACTTTAGAAAAGAGAAGTTATTTCTTATTTTCAAAGTTTAAAATTTTTTCTAAAAATATAAAAGTCTTCCTGTTTTCCCAGCATCTTCACATGAGAAATTAGACATCCCAGAGATGAGCATTTTTTTTGAGAAAACTACTTCTGTCTGGTCAAGGTTATGGTTTTTCTAGTGGTCATGTATGGATGTGAGAGTGTGGTGTTGGAGAAGACTCTTGAGAGTCCCTTGGAATGCAAGGAGATCCAACCAGTCCATCCTAAAGGAGATCAGTCCTGGGTGTTCATTGGAAGGACTGATGCCGAAGCTGAAACTCCAGTACTTTGGCCACCTCATGCAAAGAGTTAACTCATTGGAAAAGACCCTGATGCTGCGAGGGATTGGGGGCAGGAGGAGAAGGGGACAACAGAGGATGAAATGGTTGGATGGCATCACCGACTCAGTGGGCATGAGTTTGAGTAAACTCCAGGAGTTGGTGATGGACAGGGAGGCCTGGCGTGCTGCAATTCACGGGCGTCGCAAAGAGTCTGACACGACTGAGCGACTGAACTGACTGACTGACTGACTTTATATACAATGTATTTCTAAGCTAACAAAGTGACTTTAGCTCCTTAATGAGCATTGAAATATTGAAAGTGTTCAAATACTTGAGGAAAACAAAGCTGGAGGCAGCACACTCCCTGATTTCAAACAATATTAGAGGACCTTCGTCATCAAAACAGACACAGATCAATGGAACACTACTGAGAACCTAGAAATAAACCCATGCATATATAGTCAGTTAACTGACAACAAAGGACCCAAGAATACACACTGGCGAAAGGACAGTCTCTTCCATAAACAGAATTAGGAAAACTGCATTCTCGCCACATGCAAAGAATGAAACAGGAACCATTATTTTACACCACACACAAAAGCTAACTCAGAATGGATTAAAGACTTGGATATAAGATCTGAAACCATAAAACTCTTAGAAGAAAACACAGTCAGTAAGCTACTTGACATCAGTCTTGGCAATGATTGTTTTTTTTTTTAAGATCTGATTCCAAAAGCAAAGGCAACAAAAGCAAAAACAGAGAAGTGGAGACTTCCCTGGCACCCCAGTGGCCACGACTCCCAATGCAGATGCCCCAGGTTCAGTCCCTGGTCAGGGAACTAGAGACAAGATGCCGCAACAGAGAGCTGGTGCAGTCAAATAAATAAATAAAAATAAAAAAAAATAGACAAGTAAGACTATATCAAACTAAAAAGCTTCTGTACAACTTCATAAAATGAAAAGGCAACCTGCTTAATGGGAGACGGTATTTGCACATCATATATCTGATATGAGTTAACATCCAAAATATATAAAGAACTCATACAACTCAATAGTCAAGCAAACAAAAGCAAACTGATAAAAAAATGGAAAGAAGATCTGACCTTAAGCCAATGAGAAGCATTCCTGATTGATAGTCTTATTTTTCAGAGACCTTCTTTTCAGGGAATTATTTAGTATTCTCCCATGTGAGTATGTCACATTAATTTATTTTGCAAATAAAAAAAAATACTTGCGCAAACTGCTTCTCTTCCTGACCTCATCATTATTGGATATTCTTGTATCTATAAGAAGGGTATTTTTAGAAACACAGGGATAGGAGTGGAGTTTATTCTGTTAGAGAAGCAGGAATGAGGTATTGGATATGGGACACAGTGTTTAGGGGAGTCCAGAGTGAGGTGGTGAGGCATTTGGGATGTGCCGGGGGCCTGGAGACTCAGAGCGCAGAGGGGGCTGGGAATGCAAGACGTAAGCGTGAGCAGAGAGCAGGTGTGTCCAGGCCAGGCTCCATACGTAGGTGGTTTCTCAACTCCGTTGCGTGCTGGGACCACTGCAGTGGCTAAAAAATGTCCCCAGAGTTAGTAGGTCCTAATCCCTGGAAATTTGTGAATATTACCTTATTGGGAAAAAAGGTCTTTGCAGATACAATTAAACTAAGGATTTTTTTTAAAAAGAGGTATTTATTTTTGACGGTGCTGGGTTTTTGTTGCTATGGGGGGCTCTCTCTAGTTGCAATGAGCAGCGGTGTGTGGGCTTCGCTTTGTAGCGGCTTCTCTTACTGTGGAGCATGGGCTCTGGGCTCACGGGCTCAGTAGTGGGGGCTCATGGGGAATGTTGGATTCAGTTGCTTCAGTGTGGGACTGATCATTACCCAGACTTGACATCTTCATTAAGACTCGGAAACACGGATCTTCATTTTTTTTGCTTTCTGAGAATCATAGATTCTCACACCTCATAGATCATGGGCCCACCTCAGAGACACAGTTGTCCCATTTCTCCCTCTCCCCCATTACCCAAGCAGGAACCCCTTGCGTCATGCCTTTCCTTTTCTTTCATTGTGTTAAGGACACTTAACATGAAATCTCCCCTCTTAAACTTTTTTTAAATTTTATTTTTTTAAACTTTAAATTTTATATTGAAGTATAGCCAATTAACAATGTTGTGATAGCTTCAGATACACAGCAAAAGGACTCAGCATACATACACATGAATGCATTCTCCCCCAAACTTCCCTCCCAGCCAGGCCGCCACAGAACACTGAACAGAGTTCCCTGTGCTGGGCAGTAGGTCCTTGTTAGTTATCCATCTTCAGTCCAGCAGTGTGTGCATGTCCATCCCAAACTCCTTATCTACCCCTTCCCCACCCTTCCCCTCAAACCATAAGTTTGTTCTCTAAGTCTGCGAGTCTCTTTTGTAAAATAAGTTCATTTATATAATTTCTTTTTAGATGCAGCATAAAAAAGATGTCTTGCAATATTTCTCCTTCTCTATCTGACTTACTTCACTCAGTATGACAACTTCATGCTGCTGCAAATGGCATTATTTCATTCTTTTTACCAGCTAATAAACATTTTTTAAAAAAACTTTTTCTTTTCGATTGGAGTTTGGCTGATTAACAATGGTGTGACAGTTTCAGGTGAATAGTGAAGGGACTCAGCCATACACACACATGTATCCATTCTCCCCTAAACTCCCCTCCCATCCAGGCTGCCACGTAACATTGAGCAGTCTCTTGTGCGATACAGTAGGTCCTTGTTGGCTATCCATTTTAAATATAGCAGTGGGTTATGGCTAATAAAGTTTTAAGTGAACAATCCAGTCTGATACTATGTTGTACAGCAGGTGTCTAGAACTTATCCACCCTGCATACCTGAGATTTCATCTCATCTAATGACACTTCTTCATCCCCGTCCTCCTAGTCTCTGGCAACCACCACTTGACTCTCGGATTCTAGGAGTTTGGTTATTTTAGATGCCTCATATACATGGAATTATGCAGGATTTGTCTTATTGATTCCCTGGAGAAGGAAATGGCAACTCACTGCAGTATTCTTGCCCAGAGAATCCCGTGGACAGAGGAGCCTGGCGGGCTATAGTCCATGGGGTTGCAGAGAGTCAGATATGACAGAGCAGACACTCATGCTACTGTCTCAGAGGCAATTTTTTGGACTCTGGTGTTGCTCCAGCTTGTCACATGGATATCTCAAACCGGGCACAATACTTCAAGTGTAGCTGCCCAGCATGGGTCATCAAGGATCACGCGCATCTTAGATCAGGACTCTGCTGATCTGGCCACCTAGCAAAGAACACGCCTAGCTTTGTACTTGCAGGAAGAGTAGTCTTACCCTCTAGGTCCCCTAGATGGTGCTACTTGTCAAGTGTGAGTGTTTCTTTTCTTTTCTTTTTTTCCTTTTTTCTTCTGAAGCTGCTGACATCTCCCTGTGACCCCCAGACTGATGTCAGTGTCCTTCATCTTAGTGGAAAGTTACTGGTGACTTGGTGAGTGATGTCAGTGATGTCAGCGATGCTTTCAATGGGAAATAATCCTTACCTCTGGGTATTTGAAAATGCTTTAGGGTAGGAGTGTGTTGTCTGACTTGTTTATGCATATGGCAAAGGGCTTTCATTCTTGGTTGCATGACTATGTTCAGAAATACCCTGTGCAAGGAAGGGGGGTTGATATTTACAGTGACCTGTGTGGGGAGGGAGGGCAGGGAGGAGAGAGATGTTAGGGTGAAGGTAGAGTCCATACCTTTTCCTCATCCCTCGCTTTCCCTGATTCAGCTTTTCTTGAGATAGGAAAAATGTCTGTGTCTCCCACATCTGCTCTGCATCCTTCCTGAAGTGCCACTGGGTCACATCCATTTCTTCCCATGATCAGGAATCTTCCTATCAAGTATACATCCATTCTCACCCATAACCGGCTGAAATCACCCTGATCTGGGAATCAGAATTTTCATATTGGAGA